TTGTTGCTTTTCAGATCTCAATTCAAAGAACCCAGAAATTGTAAAAGAAAATTGATCTCAAAAAGCTTGCATTCAACAGATTTGAGATGGTCCTTAAATAGACCTTACAACCATAAAACAAAAACTACGCAACTACTTCTACTCTACTAGGATTGAACTCAAAACAACTAAGAACTAGTCTTCTCCTCCAGGAGACTTATTGACAAAGCCAAAAACGCAGAAAACGAACAGAGCCAAAAGGGCCATAAGACAAAGTTGCAGGGCCCAAACGAATTGGACTTTTATTACTTTACATTTGGAGAATTTTGCTTTGGTTACAACTCTAAAATCTACATTTTTTTTCCAATAGTTGTTGTAGTTTAATTTGATTTTTAAGCAATAAGATTTAGTTTATGTAATTAGTAAATGACTAATGCATATACATAAGAGGCTAAGAGCATGTTTTTCTCGTTTTCTCTTAAATATATATTTAGTCTAAATGGTAACTGAAAATTCACAAAGATCAGATATTTTCTAACGACTTTGGGTGGATTTGGTGGTGGTGCTTCCTTGTTAATCTTAAAATTTGCAGTGGTTAAAGATTTCTGGAAAAATAATAATTGACTTGTTAGCTTTTTAAAATTTTTGGCGAGACATTATCTTGAGCATCACTCACCTAAAAGGAAAAAATAATTGACAATTAGACAATATCTTGTACACCACTCACGTACAACAATTTCACACATGTAAAAGGATGCCTGGAACTTAGTTTATATTACTTGGTGACATTTTATATTTTGCTCTCTAGATGAAAAAAGGAGCACAAACAAAAGTGCAATATGAAATAAGATAATTACAATGAAATAAGACGAGAAATTCTAGAAAAAAACCTCTTACAAACTTTTTTTGTTGTTGTGGGGGTCAAGATCTTGTTACCAATAACACAAAGTCTTATGAAAAATCCTATATAATTTAGAAAGACCATTTCTAACGAAGAGAGAAAAAACAAACGACTCGTCAACATTCCAAATTATAATGTTGCAACCACGACATAGAAACATAAAGAAAACAAACATGTTTGATTCAGTCTTCGTTCTTGTTATTTTACAAATTCAGCAAAAAAAATAATCATACAATTTCGTTTGAAGACATTGTTTTTTAAAGAAAACAAAAATGCAAAACTCATTACGTGAAAACCATCAACCTCACATTGACTCCGTCACCGTTTAACGTGGCACACAAACCTCTTCGTTGACTTTGGTCATGAAATCGAAAAGCAATCTCTTTTGTCTCTTTCCCGGCGTGAAGAAGACGACGGTCATCGTGACTTGAATCAACGACGGAGACACTTTCTTAACTAATCACACTATGCTCCTCCACTCACTTTCATTTTTCCAAATCGCGTGAGCTCCACGCGCCGCTCCCTTCGTGCGGAGACGACGAGCTCTTCCGCTCGGAAGATGCTGCTGGCTCGCCCATCTCCCTCCACGTGGCCATCTTCTCCGACACGCGCCACACTTTCACCGACTTGTCCAAACTTCCGCTGTATATTATAAACTTCCGGTCTCCCTCGACCACCGTAGAGGATTTTGTTCCTCTACGGCAAGCCCTTTCTTCCTCCACCGCTAGACATTTGACGGGTCCCATATGGCCCGTCAAAACAGACAAACACTGATGGGATCCGTCTGACGGGTCCCGTCTCCAAACACATATGTTCTTGTCGGCGGAACCACTTAACAACAAGTTCCCCGCTATAGCGAGACATAACACCGCGGATTTGTGCCCTTTGAGTATTCCGCCGATGAAAATACGCTTTGAACGCTGCCAATAGTTCACTAGCCCGTCCGAGGAACCGCAATATACGATGGAAGTTTTCGATTTTACGGCTAAAGCCGTGACGGCATTTTCTTGCTTGAGCAAAACTTGAACCAACACATGTTTTGTTCCTTTGCCTTGCAACTCACGTTTCCATACCTTAACCGTGCCATCCGCGGATCCCGTGAACACCAAGTCATCGAAACCGGACATTACCGAGTTTATCGCGTCATCGTGTGCGTGTATCGATTCCAAACATTTTGAGTCCGCGATTCTCCACACTTTGATCGTCCTGTCCCAAGAACTCGAATACAACAATCCAAGCTCCACGTCCAGGCTAAGACTTGATACCGCGTCGCTATGCTTCGTCTTTACGGAGTTTTTGTTGCGGCGTGCCTCCATGAAATGCTTAGGGTTTACAGAGCTCTTGACCATAGATTTAAACGTAGGCAATGTACCAATCCGCTTGTGTTTTCCGGGCTTTCTCTTCGAAACCTTCCATACCCGAATCTTTCCGTCTTGATGGCCAGTAAAGATCCGGTCTCCGAATATCACAATGGCTTTGATAAGCCCACTACTAGATTTAAACCCGGCATAGTCCTTCAAATTCTTCCAAACCCTAATGTTCTTCGAATCCGAGCCCGTGTAGAGAAGGTCACCAGAAGCGGCTAACGAGTATATATGCCCTTCTTCACGTACAATAGATCCAATGAGACCGTTGGTCTCAAGGACATTGTCTTCATTGAAATCAGCAGCCCAAGGAGGCGAAACTCGGGCCCAAGGCGACATTACGCAAGGAGAACCTTCTCCGCTGGCCAGACCGCTACTACTCATGGTGGAGGCCGAGACGCTACTAAACCGGTGGTGAGTTAAGTTGGTGTTGACAATGATGGGATCGTCGGGAGGGAATATACCGTCGTGGTCAGCTTTCAAGAGATCACCAAATTTAGGCCTAGGTTTGTGACCATTATCGCTACGGTCGTGGCTAAGATTGTGACGATGGTGATTATTGTTATATGGATCGGTTTGGACTTGAAGATCAACGACCATGGTACCACCAGTTTCGTTCCTCATCTCTCTTTCTTCAAAATCTTTATCACAAAAGTCAAATGCTTGATTAAAAAATGATAAGATCTCTTAC